CTTATGACATCTAGCTTGACTGGCCAAGATATTTGGAGATTTTTTTCTTTCATATTTTTTTTCTTTTTTACTTACTTAATATTCTTGTTGTTTACCATCAAATTGGATCCGACTGGCACAGGAGGAGATTGCCTGTCCTTATCCAGCAGCTCATCTGGTGGATTCGAACTGTGTGTCCTCAGGATTGCAGTGCAGCTTCTTGCCACTAGGCCACCAGAACTCCCTTGGAGATTTTCTTAACTTTACTATATTCAGTGACAGTCCATGATGTAGAACATTCGATTTACATAGGTGTTTTGGACATCTGTGTGTTTGTTATACCTTGGAAATCAGAGTCACAGAAAATCTCCTGATTAGCCTCTTTGAAGAATGTATATATTCTTTGCTGAATTTGAGCATGATGATGGTGATAGTGGTGCAAGCTAGGACAGAGTTCAGGTCTGTTGTTCATAGGGTGGTTTATAGGTGTAGTTGGCTTGTTCATAGGGTAGTTGATGAGGCGTAGTTGACGGTTGCCTAGCAACCACAGCTCTGCACTTATTCCTAGAAGGGTCAGAGAAGAAGTGAATGATACAGACCAGTCCAGGCTTTAATGCTGGGATCCTACCATACCCAGAATTCCAAATTTCAAATCTATTAGACAATTTTATGCTATTGCTGCCACCAAATTTAACATTTTAGGTGTATTTGTTGTTGAAGGGAAAAAGTAAGGGAGGAACACCCTCTTTTAAAAAAAGAAAAAAAGAGGTTTTTGGGTTTTGTTTTTTTCTATGGAGCTTAAATAGTTTACCTGCTGAAGTTAGGATGCTTGTGGATTTCATTTATTTAGAGAACAAGTATAACCCCATGGTAGTTTGAATTCAACAAACAGCATTCTTTCTTACAGATTTACTTTGGTCTTCATCATAGACATTAAAGTGATTCTGGACATTGCATTGTTTTGAGATTTCTTGTGGGTACCAGTGTTGGTGACCATCTTGAATTCCTGTGAGTGATCTAACCTAAAAGAGAGGCAGGTCTAAAATCTCAATGAAGTTCTCAGTTGCCTCTACAAGGCTTCTTTGATGTTTTGGGCCCTGCCCATTGGCTGTTAGTAAAGGATATCCTGAGTGCTACATGTGACTTTAAATGGCCTATTCTTTGTATAATAAATGGCTCTCTAAAAAGAAAACTAGTCACTCCCTCCTGCCAGCTTCTAACCACTTCCTGTAAATGACAGCTCATAGATCTTAGTTTTACTAAGTGAAAAACCTATTTAATTTCACAAAGATAATTTCTCTCTCCTTCGCTGTCCTTCATGCATGTCCATATGTAAAGGCTGACAATGAGCAAACTTTTTTCCTGTCATGTTGTTGTTGTTGTTATGTGCCGTCCAGTCGTTTGCGACTCATAGCGACCCTATGCACAACAGCCCCAAACCCTGCTCTATCCTGCGCCAACCGCACCGCCTCTGACATACCCATCCTTATTACCCCAGTCACCGAATCAATCCATCTCATAGAGGGTCTTCCCCTCCTGCGTTGTCCCTCTTGACATTGAGCCTCAGTCCATACTGAAGGCTGCAGTCCTTGACCCTTCGCAGCATATATAGAAAAATGTGTATCCAAATATAGCAAAACCGCCTCATAAGGATCTTTATCAGGAGTAAATTACTTTGAATATCTTTCATTCCTTCCCTAGTAATAAAGGTTCTATCTTGATGTTTGAGTGTATTGGAATTTCCCAGGCATTTTTGAATGGTACATAGTATATGATTTTCTAGTTAAAATGTTTACTGTGGATTTTGATAGCACAGCAGGGCAGATAAATGCCTTTCACATTTGGAAATTAGAATGTGGTAAAGATACTGAAAAAACAAAAAAGAGCATTGTGCATTAGTGATCTAGTTGGCAGTAGTACCGCAGCAACATATTAAGAATCACTAACACACACACACACACATACATCCTGGTGGAGCTATTTATAAGCTCCAGATTAAGTCAAACAAGAAGGAAGTGTTCTGAATATGTAAGTATCTCGAATTACATAGATTTTACTGACTTGAAATCAGTTAAAATTTCAGATCTCAATTTTTCCTTTTACTTATTTTGTAATTTGGGAAAAGTACTTTAAATAATCAGAACTTCAAGTTTTTGATTTATGAAATGGGCTTAATTGTATGCACTTACAAGGTGTACATTTTCCTCCCTCATCCTCCCTTCTCTCTAACCCAGACCTCTTTGTAATACACCCCTTGTTCCAGATTGTTGTCATAATGCCTAATCATATATTTCTTTCAGACAATTCTTCCCTTCATCTGTTTCAACCAATGTGGTGTTTATTATTTATCCACTCTTTTCTCATTCTCGCCTCATCCCTCCCATGTCTGGCCTATTTTTTAACAGCAGTGTTATGCAGTACTGTCCTTTTGTGACTGAATGAACAAAGTGTTCTGTGTGGAAGTCTATCTAGCTTAGCCTTCAGTGGACTTAGTTTTTATTCCCTTTACTAAACATACTATTTCACTTTGTCAAGAAAAAAACATCCCAACCATCTTTTGATCTTGCATCCTTCTCTGTACTCTCTTTATAGAAAAATGAATCAAAAGCTTTTACTTATTGTTACTAATTCTGATGAGTCCTTTTGTCCACCGTCCCATTAAAGTTGTGCTTGTTAAAGTCTCCATTGTGTACACCCATGTTTATCACAGCTTTGTTTATAATAGCAAAGAGTTGGAAACAACCTAAGTGCCCATCAACAAATGAATGGATAGAGATGGTCTGGTATATTCACACAATGGAATACTATGCAGCATTGAAAAACAAGGAACTCATGCAATATTTTACAGAATGGGTGACTCTGGACATTATGGTGAGTGAAATAGCTCAGTCACAAAAGGACAAATACTACATAGTGCCACTATTGGTACTGACATCAGTGTTGGGGGAAGACTGAGAAAGATGGGTTAAATAATATATACTGCATTGAAACAGATGAGAGAGAAAACTGTTTAAAAGGAATATGTGATTGGGTATTATTGTCATGACAGGAGTCCAGAACGAAGGCTGCAGAGTGGAGTGGACTTCGGGGGAGGGATTGTATAACAATGAAAGAATTTTTCTTTTACTTTTCAAAGAGAAGAACAAACTGGGCAGGAGGGGTAGGCAGGGAGAAAAGTGCAAAAATGAATGAATGGAAAGCCAAATTCTCTGTAAACTTTCATTAAAATTAATGATAAGTTTTAAAAAGGGCGGGGAACAAAACAAAAAGTCTCCAATGACTTCCACATTGCTAAATTCAGTGGTCCACATTCAGCAGTCATCCTGACCCATTAGCAGCTTTGATTTGATACTAATTCTTTAAACAAATCCTTCACCTGGCTATTAAGACAATATGCTCTCTTGGTTCTCCTGATCATTCCACTGGCTGCTTTTTTTTAGCCTCTAGCTCTTCACCCCTATCTAATGTTTATATTATCTATTCCATTATCCATATCTAGCATTTCCAGGGCTTGATCCTTCAACTTGATTTCTGTCTATGTTAATCCCCAAGTGATATTATCCAGCCTGGTTCTTTCTCTGAATTCTAGATTTATATATTCAGTTAGAGATTTACTTCACATGCCAAGTAGACATTTCAAACAGAATGTATCAAAAATAGAATTTCTAAGCCTTCTTTTCTCTTCTGTCCCCAAACCAAAAATGACACTACCAGCAAGCAACAAAGAACCCTCTGCTGCTCTGGCAGTTTGAGGTCAGCGTATGGTGACAGAGATGTTGAGATGTGGTGTGAATCTGGATAAATTAATAAAGAAAGAACAAGCTGAATTTGCTGATGGACAAGATGTGGACAGAGTAGAGAAAAAAATGAAGACACAGATGACTCAAGTTTTTTTTCCTTTAGTGGATGTATCACCATTTGTTTAGGTATTCACCAGTTAACATTTGTGTTGTTTCTTGTTTTAGGTTATTAGGACTTATGCTGATATAAACATTCACATGCAGGTCCTTGAATAAAACATATGCTTTCTATTTTTATAAAAAAAATTCTTTTTGGGGAAAAAATTCTTTTTTGGGTAAATAAAAAGGAGTAAAATTTTAGTGAGGAGTGGTATGTGTAATGCTTATTAATGATCTAATAAAAATAGACTGTTTTCTAGTGTGGCTGTGTTTTTTCACACTTCCATTAGCAGTATATGAGTTCCAGTTGTTTTATGTCCTTTTCAAGAGTTGAGATCATGAATCTTTTTTCATTTCAGCCATTCTAAGGAAATCTGTAGTGGTAAAAAGGCACATGGTTTTAATCTACCAGGAGCTGCTCCACAGAAGAAGGGGAAGCTTCCTCCTGTGCAGTTTACTGCCTCTGATAACCTCTGGAGAGTCTTCAGTTGGTTTTAACTTGACGGCCCACGACAAAGTGTTTTCAATTGATACTACAACAAACATGTATAAAACTTTAATTTGTAATAGTCCTTCGTTTTGTGGAAGGTCTGTCTATTCTGTGGAGTTTCCTGGTGTCCCCCTGGGCACCAGGGGGTAGGTCATTGGAAACAGGTGGGTTCTTCACTGTTAAAAGTGCCTCCACAATGCATCTGTAGTGCAGTTGTCTCTTCTTGCTTATCTTTGTCATACATAGGTTTTGTTTCATGGTAGCTTGTTCTGTATGTGATCCTTTCTGTAAAAACAAGTCACTGACTTTCTCTTCCGAGGGTGTGGTCGTGGAAGGGGTGCCCTCTGACTGTTCTGGGGTACTTGTGGGTGCACATACATCCCTGAGTGTGTTGCTTTGCTCCCTGCAGGAGGTTTCCCAGTGCGCCTATGACTTTTCTCTTCTGGCTCCATCCTGGAGTCTGATGTGCTCCGACCAGGCTGGGAATGGAAAGTTGGAAAGTGACGTTCTCTGGCAGCCTCCCTTTTTGTAGAGGGTCTGAGGTTTGTTTGCTTAAGCTGAGCAGAGGATGCCAAAGATAGAGGTTTGAGTCAGCTTGACATTAGCTTAGGCTCTCTTTTTCATTCTTGTTCCTCCTTTTCTTTCCCCTCCCCCTCTGGCCAGTTGTTTCCTGGCCTTTGTCTGAGATACACTGGACAGTTTTAGACCCAGTATCCACTGCTTGCTGAGAAATACTCAGAGGCGAGATGGAGGAGAAGCTGCCAGGAAGTTTTTGACACCACTCAGCTCTGGGCCTCTGCCTCTGCCTCTGTGCTGATAGTACGGGCAGCCTAACCTCAGGAGAAAGGCATCCGCATCCGGAGGCCTGTGCTGAGCTGTGGGCTGGTGGCTAACTCGGGGGAGGAGAAAGGACAGCCTGGAAATGCCTGTCTTAGATTCATCCTATCTGCCACCAACCATCTTTATTTTGACTCACATTCTTGGAATTGCTGGTGTTCTGTACTGGAAGAAATGTGCTAGCTACAGAGCAGGTAATTGTTCCGTGGTTCTTTAAATCTACTATGGGATGTTGGAGGGTGGGGTGACAGATATCTTCCCATTTGCTTTCCTTAAAGGGCCAGTGTGTCCTCTCAGCAGTGGTGCTGTCGGACTAAGTGTATGTATTAATGGGACTGCCATGAGACTGGTTTGGGATTTGGACTATTTCCTGTCCCATCAGTCTGTCAGGCTGGAGGGTGCTGCATAGATGAAGTGATGTCTGGCCTAGGAACTGGAGGGAAATGAAAGCTGTTTTCAGTGTCTTTCCTCAAGGGGGAAAAAAACCCAAGTTCTTAATATCAGAAAAGTTTTATTTTAGATCTTTGTTTTGAACCTCTGGATGACAATGTGTGAAAAGTTGTAGGACTGAGAATTTTTTTAAATTTGGAGTGGTTTTGGGTGAGAAAAGGCAACAAGTATCAGGCAGAGAAAAAGATCAAGTGATGTCTTCATCAAGGAGCATCCTGGAATACTGGGGTGCCTCTCTCTTTTTGATGTGATCAAAACCCCTTTCCCTCAGATAGCTACATATTTTACTCTAGGTGTATCCATGGCATCATGCTCATTGTAGGCAAATTAACTCTTTTATTCACCAGGCAACTGGGGTCCTTATACTTTTTTTTGTTAATTATTATTTTTTGTGTGTGTGCCGTCAAATCAGATCTGACTGGTACAGGAGGACATTGCTCCCCCTTCCCGGTAGAGCATCTGGTGGATTCGAACTGCATATCTCTGGGATTGCAGTGCAGCTTCTTGCCACTAGGCCACCAGAGCTCCCCATGGTCCTGATACTTTAAAACGAGTGTATTTTTTTAATGGTACCCAAACTCTTTCTTCCCATTAGTAACATTCTCCATTGACTTCTAAATGTCCAATGCACAGTCTCTATAGCTGCAGAAGAATAGTGTCTAGCTTTTCTGAGAACACACCCTAGAGGTTTTAACACAACTCTGTTACTTACAAGTTAAGAGAGAGGTCTGATGACTTATTACTTAACAAGCTATTAAAAGTTCATGAATGCTTGACAGAATTAGATTTAGTCATTCGGTAGTGTCCTTTCTAGTAAGTCTCAGAAAAACTTTTGACTAAATATCCAAGTATGACTGTGTCCATGTCAGCAAAAACAGAGACAGGCATTTATAAGTATCTTTGTCTGTGTGGTGGTGTTTTGAAAACAGAGACCCCCAAAGCAGCTTTCATGAACCCTATATCTGAGTTTAGAAACAAAAAGTGTAGACAAACATGAGGTTTTTCAATATTATTATTTCACCTATAATGAGAAAATAAATATTGTTGAGTGGATTTTACTTTTTCTCCTAGTCCCTATTCCCCACATTGTGGTAATGACATTTCTAAACTATGTAACTGAAAAACTCAACTTATTGCTTTCAAGGCTGTAAATCTCACAGGAGACAACCCTTTCTCCTTTGGAGCAGCTGGTAGATTTGAATCCATGTCTTTGGGTTGTCAGCATAACTCCTTACCCACTAGGCCCACAGAGCTCCCTCTAAACTACTAGTGATTAATAGATTTAATGTGTACCTTCAACACTGGTTTCTCTGGAATTTAGGGATCATAGCTCTATTTTTCAAGTGTTTTTAAATATTTAAAAATTATTAATTTAGAAAACAACCACAAAACACTTGCACTAAAAAGAAGAAAATGAAATTGTAAAGCCTTTTTATTTCTATAAAGCGGCTTTGATTCAAGTATATTACAGTTAGGTTAGGAATGTGCTGTGTTCAGTTTATTCACCTATAAAATTAGAGCAGTGTTGTATAGTTTGTTTTCCTCCTCTTCACTTGGAGATTATGGCTGTCCAAGCTTCCATGGAGACACAGAAGAGATTCTGCTTGCTTTTGATTAGAATTTCACTTTTAAGATATATTTATCATCTTGAAAGGGAGTCTGGTGGCCTAGTGGTAAGGAGCTGTAACTGCCAACCCAAAGACACACACAGAGTTCAAATCTGCAAACTCCTCTGTGGGGAAAAGATGGGCAGTCTCCTGAGTGATTTACTACCTCTGAAAAATCTTCTGGAGGGTAAGCTATGAGTTGGTTCCAACTAGACAGCAATAAGTTGAATTTTTGAGTTGTATAGTTTTAGATTCGGTTCCGACTTGACAGTACATGACAAACGTTAAAAACCAAGTTAAAAACAGCACGTAAACGCTAAAGTACTACCTGCCAGTTTTAATGCATTAAACATCACCTGAATAGTTTCCCCACCATTTGACATATATAGGAGCCCTGGTGATGTTAATGCAGTTGACTGTGAATGAAAAAGTGAGCTATTTTATGTTTGTTTTTTTTTTTAGTTTTCTTTTAAAGTGAGCTATTTTAAACCTACCATTCACTCTGAGGGAAAAGATCCTGCAACATATCTATTCTATTCTAAACAGTCCTTACTAGATGAAAATGTCTGATGGCCATTTGTATGACTTCGTGGGCTTACGTATATATTTGTACCACTTGTACATGTAAAGGGATCTCTGATGACATAGTCCTTTGGGAGTTGAACTGCCAATCCAAAGGTGATACCTCTCTGGCAGTTTGTGTCCATCAAAACCAATGTGGGAGAAAGAGGATGATCTCCCCCACAATATTTACAGCCTCCAAAAATCCACTAATGAGTCAGCTGTTTGTTGATTTGACTTGATGGTAGTGATTTGAGTTGAATTTATGTGTATACTTGATCAACAGCATATATATTATCTCTTTTGATTCAGTAGTTTTTCTTTAAATTGGACAGAAAGCAAGCACACTGTTGGAGAAAATACAATGGAAAAGTCTAATAAATTCTAGACAAGTGTTAGGTATGAGCTCAGATACATAGGCCCTTATTGTGTTACTAGTATTACATGTAGCAATATTCCTACATGGTAACATTGTAGTATTGATTTAGTCAGAAATATATGCTTGCCTCACTTCCATATTCCTATTTCCGTATTATAAAGGATGTATAGTTTTAAGAGTTCTGGACATCCCATGGACTGCTAAAAGAACAAACAAATATGTCTAACAGAAAGTATAGCTAGAATGCTCCTTGGAGGCAAAAATTGTAAAGCTTTGCCTCAAAACTTTGAGCATGTTGTTAGTAGAGACTATTCCTTGGAGAGGGATGTCATGCTTTGAAATGTCAACAAAGAAAAGAAAGATTCTCAGCCAGGTGGATTGACACAGTAACTGCAGCAGTGAGCTGTAGTGTGCCAGGAAGTGTGAGGATGGCATAGGATAGGACAGGGTTCAGATCTGTTGTTCATAGGGTCCCTATGGATTATACTCGACTCGATGGCACCTAACAACAACAATAACAACATTTTAAGATACTGAAGATAAACATATTTTAAACAAATATATTCAACTCTCTTTCAGGCATTTGTGTCAGTTCATTTGAATAATATCCTAAGAGTACCAAGAAAACTGTAAAATAGTTGCTATTTGTGTATATATTTGTATGAACTAGGTTTTTTAAAAATGAAAAAGAACCCACAAAAACATAGGGAACAAGTCTGATGGAGTTGCTGATGAAATGCAATTTATAATTTAGTGCCTATATTTTAATCAAAATTGCCAAATTGGTCATGCTTTGAAAAATGTTTTTGTTGTCGGACACTGCGGAATTGGCACCTCCCTACAGCAGAAGGAAACACTGCCCGATCTTGCACAGTCCTCACAAACCTTCCTGTGTGTGTGTCCATTACACAGCCACCGCACCTGCCCATCTTGGAGAGTTCTTCCTCCAGGGCCTGGTTCCTCCTAAAACATCTCTAAAGAACTGAGATGATGAAGTCTTGTCATCCTTGATTCCAAAAAGCATTCTGCTGTGATTGTATTTGGGTTTTTTTTTTCTTGCCTGTCACAGTATCTTCAGTATTTTCTTCCAGGACTGTAGTTCAAATGCATCACCCAGTTTTCAAATGCATTTGAAAAACACTGTGACTTGAATCTGGTACATCTTAGTTTTTAGGATGACATTTTTTCTTTTTTAACACTTCAGAGAGTAGATTTAGACTGTATTTGCTTCATTTGACTTCTTGCTGCTCCCTCCATGGGCATGATGGACCCAAGTAAAATTAAATCCTTCACAACTGCATTATTTTCTCCATTTATCGTTTTACTGCTTATTGATTCAGTTATGGGAAGTTTTCTTTATGTTGATATCGTACTCATACTAAAAGGTACAGTCTTCAATATTCTAATGTATGAGCCACCACAATATGACAAACTGACACACAAGTGCTGAATGAAGCTGAGGAACACCTGTAAGCAGAACTCAGAACTTGATGATAATCCAGCCCTCGTCAGGCATCCACACATTTTATCTCATTACTCTCAAAGCTCCCTGCTGTCTTAGTTTGCTTTTTAATTTTTTTATGTCTTTATTTTTCTAGGACTATTGAGACAATTTCAGATTTCCTCCTCAATTGACTAACTATACCCATAATGATCTTTCTAAAATACAGAGCTGTCTGTATCACTCTTGTGCTTAAAATCCATTTATACTTTACTCCCTTTGCTTCTAAGAGAAAAGCTAAACTCTTTTGCAATATATAAATATGTTTTCACGATCAGCTCCTTACCAATCCTTAGCTTCATTTCCTGTCCTAGTCTTACAAACACCACGTAGTCCAAAATCATTTAAGGATTTGTAGATCTCTACTTGAAATGCCTGTACTCCCTTTTCAATTTGCACTGCTTGATAGTTGTTCTTTTTTTTTTTAAAAAAAAAAATTTATGATTTCTTTTTTAATTTTTAAAAAT